AGTCCAAATTATGTTGCTTGAAACAACAATAGTATTTGGAGAAATATAAGTGTAAAACAAATTCAAAGGCGGTCCATTTCAAAGAAAAAAAAACGAAACCAAACAATCAAATATTAATGCCAAAGTTAGATATACAAAGCAATCGGAACACCTCGGCTTTTATTCACAATAATCTCGGACTTGATACAGATTGAACGTAGGTCTGCGACGTGGATTTAGGTGTAAACAGAGGGTGTAATCTTTGACATTTGACATCCAAAGGGAAATAAAGTCTGTTCAGGTAAAATTATGATTGAAAATATGTCTGACAATTCTAAAAATTTTAAACGCCCACTGATGTACAATTGTAACCAAATCTGAATTAATGTCAACAGATATACATTTAGTAGTTTGGGTTTCTACATAATAATATGAATTATGTACTATTTGCATATATATATTTATATATCAATTAACTTTTTTAGGTGGACTTTTACTCAATCTGATTAAAATCTGCTTCTAATTTACGCTACGCATAAGGATCTGATGGGCGCCAAAAAGAGGCCACATTCTCAGTCAATCATCGACGAGCTTAAAGCGCTGCTGTTTCTTATTTCAACCGCTCGAAAACCATACGAGTAGGTTTCACGATTTCGAGAACAAACATGACGTGTCCATATAGCCGACAGGTATACTGGTAAGACAATCATGCCCATTAAAAATTGATTCTATTATTTCCAGTTTATTTGTCAAATTATTTCAATTTTTTTTCTAACAAAAAATCAACAATTTCTTTTTCTTCCGTGGACAGCGATATTTTGGCCTATCTGTAAAGGACGGTTTGATTGCATGGCTAGAAACAGCCTTCTTTGAAATCCGAATCCGTGAAGGGAAACAAAAACAGTGTCAATCAGATCTACATTCAAGAAATAACTTACTCGATATAATATATTGGAATAAACTCCCAACATTAGATTACTATTGGTTTACACGTTTAGTTACTTAGCGAAATATCGTATCTTACTATTTTGTACGACACCTTATTAATTTTTAACAGTATATGCATTTACATGCGCAGTCCAAGCGCATGACGGTCTTGCTGATTAAATTAAATTTTGAGATTAAGAAATATTCACTTCAGTTTGTTACGGATATCTCGTAAATTCAGGTAAACAATTTTATTATATATGTTTAACATTTAAATGAAGCTTTAGTGTTTGCTTGAAATATACTTGTGTACGCATTATGTGAGCCATAGGTTGTGTGTAACAGAACTGACTTCCACTTACACGAAGAGAACGAACTATAAAATTAAGATTATAATAACCGTACGATGGGGGTAAAATATAGGACGCTTATCTTGTGTGCAAGCAGTTGTTTGTCCGAGTCTCAGGCGAAGCTTTTTCATTGTATTTTTTACAGCACATAAAACAATACCGGAGCAGATATATGAAAAATGTATTTCTTATGTTCTGGCTTCCTATATGTCTTAATATTGGGGTTGAACTGCGTTTATATAGTATTCAAGTTATATAACGACGAGAAGTTAACCTGTTCTTCCCAAATAATTGCCAACTCCTCGTGTATCGATGCTCTTTCTATTACTAACACTGTTTTATTTTTGGTCAAAAGGTCGTGATATCGTGTCGAAATTTGGTGTTGACTTGTCAAAACATAGGAATCCATTTTGTTAAAACCAGTTGTTGCTAATTTCTGCCCTTATTTTCTTTTTAAAGGGCCAAACGATTTTTATAAAAATTTTGTAAAAAAGTTGGTTTTTTTAAAGATCTTGTGAAAAATTTGTAAAAGATGCATTAATGTCCAATATCTTTGTTGTTTGTCAAATTTGAAAAAAAATTGAAAATGTTCTTTTTAAAATGTTTTTTGTTGTCGGAAAATTATTGGCAGGGGTTTTTTTGATTAACCAATCACAAGTATGAATTAAACATAAGGCGAAAGGAAGAATCTTAAATAAATTTAATATATAGCAATTTTAAAATAGGTTTTGTCTCATTTATTTTTTTATTCAACAACAACAACAACAACGACAACCAACAACAACAAGCAGCAGCAGCAGCAGCAACACAACACAGCAACAACAACAAGAACAACAAGTAAACCATCAATTAACAATGGCACTCAGCCAGTGGATAACCTGATGACATATTTTTGATCCCGAGCATGCAAACGCGATCTATGGTCCAGACAGGACGTTTTCCAGCATACTATTCGAATAAGATATAAAAATCTGGAAACAAAGTGATCCCTCGGAAGCATTAATCGGCAACAAAAATTACAAAGAATTGCAGACTCGGTTTGATTGAGTCTGTACATGAGGGATACTGATTAAGTGCAACATCCCTCACGCCCCCTAGCACCGGCTTGAAGCGTGGTACTGCAATTTCTCAACACTAAATAGTGTTGGCATCAATGATCCCGAAGAACCAGAAAAATATAACAACACTGAAGTGAAGTACGGGGCAACTTTTTACAGTGATTGTTTACGGCAGTCGGTCGCTTACTGCCGAAAGTTGAAAAACGATATAGTCAGAAGGAAATTTAAGAAAGGCCATTGCTTGTGTCTTGGGATGCTAACATTTTCATCTTTATCTATTTGGAAAAGAATTCACATTAATTACAAACTATCGCCTATTTACAATAATGTGAAATAAATACAATCAGCCCGAATGGAATTAGTTACATACAAATTCAAGGCAAAATACCGTCCAAGTAGTTGGATGATATCGGATGACATACACAGCACCCAACTAATTTATGGCCCTTTGCAGAGCGTGGCGGAAGATTATGATTGTCAAAGTCAAGTAACGAAACATCTATTTCTCTCATTCCATGTACAAACATGACACACTGAGGTGACAGACATGAATATAATTACAATAAGGCTCAAAATTAGCAAGGGTTAATTAACCATAAAATTTATGTGGAAATGTATTAAAACCAAACACGCGGCTGCCGGGGGTAGCCTATCTTGGGGGGGCAAACAAAAATGGCTTTTATTGGGGTAAAGAAAGCTCTTTCCAAAAAGATGAAAAACAAAAAAAAAAAAATGTTAAAAAGATGCTTTAAAAAGCTATGAACAAAAGAACTACGGATAGCGATAACTGAAAAAATGGAACTTGTATTGCTACCAAAAGGATATGCGATCCGCAAGAACTGCCCAAAGATGCGTTGTTAGAAATTTAGCTTGAGGGGGTAACCCCGGGTAAAAATATAATGAAAGGGACGTTTCCTGTGTGAAACAATCGGATACCGTAAATGGATTACTTGTATATTAATGTTGTTCGAATTGTATACCGGGTTGTCGGCTCTTCTACAAAAAAAAACTTTCCTGATCCAGTAAAGATAAGTTTGTTACGAAATGCAGGGTTTGGAGTGAAAAATTTCCGTAGATTTCTGTGGTTCATTTCCCATCCGGTCATTAAGTTTCATGGTTTATAGCTGGATGACTACATAGGCGCCTAATTCCGTTGTCACGAAAGACTATTGTTCTCTGAAAAGCCAAAAAACCAGTCCTGGCAAGGCGAGAAACTCTATTTTCAATGTTCGGCATGGTCTCTGTTATTCGTACAAACAAACGGTTACACCTTCAAACAATTGGCAGAGCAAGCAGGATAAATTCATTGTAAGATTACACCTCTACATCCAATGGGCATGCAGCCGCTTGAAAAGCATTAAAAACAGCCGTTGCGTCTGGCAAAGACTACAAATAATAACTAAATATTTTTGCTGAACTATAGAAACATGCAAGATTCAGCAACAGATGGAGTAAGCCCTCTGTGAAGACTGCTTGGAAGAGCGTCCCTACCGAAGTTCACAGTTAATAAGATAGACACTTCCGTTTGAGATATAGAGACAAATTACACAAATTGAAACATAAATTTTAAACCCTGTCTATAACCGACGTGAATATCTATGGTAACTGCAAAATACAATTATAAAAAAACGATTAATCACCCGTAATATATTACATTTAAAACCAGTTTTAGGCAATCATTGAAACGAAATTACAAGGCAGCCGACGCTACCGACCAATGTATAACCGATGAACTGTCGCCAGCATCTTCTAATTAGAAACTAAAAGAGAACAACAACACCGAAAGATAAATTTAATTGTTCGAGTGAAAAATAATTTTATACTTAATAAATGTGTCTTGTAAATTTGTTAACAACAAACAAACTAACAAACATCCCACTCCGAAAATCAGTTTTCTTAATCATGAAATTCCAAAGAGTGTGCTCTGAGTAAGTTTGACTTGAGATTAAAGTAAGTTGCTTACACTTGGATAGGGTGTCAGAGTGAAATAAACGAACTGTACGCCTCTAATAACAGATCATAAACGTAAAGACGCCATTCAAAATTACTAAAAACAGAACGATGCCACATGTTATCTCTGGTGGCAGAAGGCCAAGGTTCATATAAAATTAATTTGGAAAGAGTCTACATTTACTGTATGAAATAAATGCTAAGCTTCATTTTTGCTATCAATTTATTTACTATGTGGAATGGTAAAATTAACAGACTTACTAGTTACTTAACAATCAATTTTGTCACGCAACACAAAAAGTCTATGCGGCAAAACAATTGGTCATTTTATAAAATGTATAATGCATAGAAAAAAATATTATTTGTTAGTTGCCAGAACTTTTGTCTTCCTTGTCCAATCTTTCGTCCATGCTTCCCCTTCTCTACAATGAGTATTTAGGAAATCTAATTATGTATACGAGTAATGACATTGTGTTGTCTGTGTTTTGCCTATTTGAAAACCACCAATAAAAAACTATTAAATTGTATAGAGCTATATCTCTGATGCCTGCAATTTTTTTTTTGCAATCTAAATTTGAAAAATTTGAAAAAGTATGATATTCCAAAATGCTTTTATGAAATAGATATGTTTGTACATTTTTATTTCATTTTGAGTGAATGCACAATGCACAAAATCATTACAAAACGGTAAAAAACCTACTTAAAGTAACAACATAATATTTTGTTACGGAATCTATTTATTGTGTTAATGCACAGTTTTCATGTGTTTTCATTAAAAGAAACATTCTTTGTTTCAACTCGACCGACCCTGATACGGAAACATCATTTTACCTTTTTTTGAATTTTATAAAAAATATTTTATTAGATAAAATAGAAGTTTTATAACCTTTTACTTTATTTTATTTAATAATACATAATATCCTTAATTCATAAAGATATCCCACAAATATTTGAAACATATTAGATGTATTCTGCTCATGATAATTGTTTGGTTTAACAGTAATGTCTGATTTATGTGAAATAACTTCTCCTGGGGTGGGGCTTATCGGTCAACAGCTTTCCACACGCTTAAAAAATTGTTAGCACTTTCTCTTATAGTAAAGTATATTATCTATATGTTTACGAAGTGTATGAAGTTTGTTTTCAGAGTGTCATGATAGACTTTCAGAATAAAAATATTTTCACGTTAATTCTAACGGATTACTATAGTTGAATAATTCAGGTAAAAGATTTTTCCATTTTAATACTAAAATGACAATAATTATGAAGTTAAAAGCTGTGTACATTTTTAAGTGTTTGCAGGTATACACTGTGTTATTTTAACAATTTCAAAATTTTAGCATCTTAAATACTAGTGCTTATGAGTTTTTGTTCGATCAGTATTTATTGTATTTAAAACGCTTTTAAATATGAAGTTTTTTTTCCAAATCTTAAAGGGATATTCAGGCAAAATAATGACAAAAATATTAAAATGATTTTATGTACTCAAATCAGGCTAAAATGACGTTTCTTGAAGTTTCAGCATGAATTTTTCTGTTTGAAATTTATATATCTCGGGTTTGAAACATAAATATATCTACATATATGTTGAACAAAATTTAAACGCCAATAAAATCACCAAATAGTTTTAAAACAAGTCAGGTGACTTGAACCAACCCTTTAAGTAACAATAACAGATATTTTGGATATTTTATGATTGAAACAAGTCTATGTCATTCATTTGAAATGTTTTTTAACGTTTCCAGAGTTCACTTTGACAAATATTGCGAAATCATAGCGCTCTAACCTGACCCACGCGGGTCAAGTTAGGAAACCACTATTTTATTCTTTATATGGAAAAAAGTTTTGTTCCATTGACTGTCTAATATATTTATTTTGAGGGCATGTACAGAATAATGAATGAAAATTTCAAAACTAAGAAATGAAAATTTTGCCTGTGTCTCCCTTTAAGACAACAAAAATATTGCGATTTTCTTAGTTTTCTTTTGTTTTTGTTGTTATTCTAAATAAAAAATTGACTAAAACGAGCTAATGAATATTTCGATTCTTTTAATTAAGTGTTGGAGAAAGCATGTTTTGAAAGGAAGGAGTTATTGTATTCAAGAGAAGTAGTGTTGGAGAAAAGCAAATTATGGCAACATTTTTCTTATGTATACAAAGTATTAAAGAAATATTAAGAAAATTATGTCGGAGTAAAGTTATATGCATGCTGTTCTAATGTACATATATTTTTCATGCACAGTTTTGATAAACAACAATGGAAAAGGCAGAATTTGGCAAATATTTTACAAACATATTCCAAGATGGATTCATTATGTTATCAATTGGCATCGGGCATGACCTTGGATTGTTCAAAGTCATGTGTGAAGCTAAGGAACCTATCAGCAGTGAAGAAGTGGCCAAGAAGTTAGATCTTAAAGAGAGGTAATTAAAACAATTTTTATCTCACCTGCTCACAAAATGCTTAGTTTTCCTGCCGCCCATTGTTCGTTGTTATCCACATTTTTTAAACAACATCTTCTCGTAAACTTCTTAACGGATTTGGACCAAACTTCACAGGAATTTTCTCAGGTGATCGGCTACAAAAATATACCCAAATTTGCAATGTAATGCATTAGCAGGTCACAGGAGCTAAAAAAGACTTTAAAAAATATCTCCTCCGCCTTGTGATGAGATACTTTTGGCCCTACCAGTTTTCTTATTATCACCCTAGAGAACAAATTGGCCCCTTGGGGTCTAGGGGGTCATGGATCTTCATTTTATGTATGTAATAAAAACTTAAAACACCCCGTTCTATTAACAAGCAATGTCCAGAACTAAGATATGTGGTATGATACATTGTCTTGTGGATTGCTACCAAGTTTTGATAAAAATATAGCTCTTTAGTCAAAATTTAAGAAGCAGCTGTTTCTTTCCATATCAACCAATTACTTTCCTTAGCAAAATGTGATTTACATAACTACCATTGACTTCCCTTTGCAACCACTGACTTCCAAAACAACCATTGAAACAACCATTGACATCATTTAGCAACTAGTGATAGACCAACAATTGGTTTTCAGAAGAAACCAGTGATATTTTGGTTGCAGGTTTTAATCTTTATATCAGTTGACCTAGATGCTGACCTAATATCTGATTTTCATTCATAAGAATTGTTCATTGTCATTTAGAGCATTTATAGTCAGGTGAGCGATATAAGAGCCATCATGGACCTCTTGCTATTGTATATTTACAGTTTTGCTCTCTGATAAACGAATCTTTGTAATTGATATTTAATACAAAAAAACCTATGATAAAATGCTAGCTTTTGATTTGAAAAGCGTAACTTAAGCTAAGGCAATAGAAAACTAGTTGGAGTTCGACGTCTGTAGAACTGTCATAAATTCAAATCATTCATTTTTAAAACATTTCCGACGTCGATCTATATCTGGCATTGATTTTACGTGTTGTGTTTATTGACATTACGAAATCCAATTTTTTAAAAGCGTTTATATACAAAACAAATGTAATCCTTTAGACAGAAGAAATAAGAAATTTGAGTTATCTATACACCGTATACAATTTCAAGTTGTAAGTATATGTTGGTCCTGTCCTCCATCAGTTTTTTGTAGAGCTTTTCGTTCAATGATGGCTGTTAAATCAAAAATAAACTAAATAAGCATGGCGATGGAAGATTTGTGTACATGACATAAAGAAGATACAACACAACAATTCAGAATTCTGTCTCTGAAAAAGCTAAATTTAATCTATGCATACATTTTTGTCAGTTTTGTAATGTATGATGTGTAAGTCAATGAATATATCACTAAAACTTCTTCACATTATTACAGGTACACGAGGGAATGGTTGTCAACAATGGTTGCTGCTAGTATCATTAAGCAGGACAGAGATTCTAACCTGTACACAGTCCCTGAGCAATATAAAGATATCATTATGACAAACATGGGGTTTGCACCGGCTTTATTTGCTATGGGGATGAGGTCGAAGGCGGTAAAAGAGGCCTTTAAAAAGGACGGTCCTTATGGTAAAAGCATTAATTTTTCAAAGCAAATAGGCAGCAGAAACACTCGTATTTTTGTTATTTTTGATAATTTTATCTTATTATATTTGTATTTCATTCACAAAATGGCATTTTTTATAGCTTTACAGCTTTTCAGGAATGCAAGATGTGAAAATATGTCAATCGCAACCACTCGGGCACTTCCGTCAATCTTCAGATTTGGACTTCGGAATAACTTACCGGTCCGTTCCGTCAAAATTCGGATAAGGACAAGCATTTTATTTATTTTTTTTAAAAAAAGAGAGAAATGGACAGTTTTGAAAATACAAGCTACTGTCCATGCCCCCTAGCACCGTCTTAAGCAGTATTCAATATTTAAACATGTAATGGTAAAATTTAGAATTTAGAAACATCCGCAGATGTGTTCATACGGCGTGATCATGGGACCTTCAATGTGACACGTTGGTGCCATTCTTTAAAAAGCGGTGTATAGTCCCCAAGTAAAAATATGCTTGTGCCCTAAACGAGAAAACAATGGGCGAACTAAACAAAATGGAATTTTGAAAAGGGGGATCAGAGGTTATGAAGCCTGCATATCACAGATAAGCTGTCAAAAAGCAGGGGTGATTATATTATACTCAAGAAAGGAATACTGGAACCATCCATGTAGAAAAAGCCAAATAGAAAGAACTAAAATACCACAAACATAACAATATTGTCGTGCTGAACGATCTATATTCAAGCTCTTTTCAGCTTCCTTAAATCACATTCGAGTACGCTGTCTGAAACTACCCATCACTGATGTCCATTACCATACGTATCAAGCAAGTTAACTTCTAAATCAATTTGGCCGAAATACAATATCCGTTCTGTACTATTGTATATTTGAAGTAATATTTCATTTGAAGAAATATTTCATACTACAGCAATATTATGACTATGCCTCTCTAATACCAAGTATTCTCACATGTGTTAAAGTATTCACAAAATGAAATATTAGAATCATTTTAATCTTGTTATCATCCTTCTAAATTTGTAATAATATAATAGTGTCATAAATGGAAACATGGTTGCTCGAACCCACGATTCCAGGTTTAGAAAACACTTATATTTTAAATTTCGTTGTATGTGTTTCAATGAGATATTTTAGGGAAACTTATCGATAAATTTTAAAACGAGACAAGTCGGTCTCTTGAACCAACGATCCCTTTTCTTTTGAGACACACAAGTGTACCGCAAAGTCACTGCAACTTCTTTTTATATTTGGTCTTTAAAACAAGCTAAATAGATTAGAAACGGAACAGGAACCCCATGTTTTGTAATTGCATTGCTTAAGAAATTTTGATGAAACTTACTTATAATTATTATAGCCTTTGATTTGGCAAACTTTCACTTTGTTTGTGTTTCTTGACAAGTTTCGTTTCAAAACAGAATACATGTTAAAAGCTGCTTACGTGTTTAAGACAATTCATTTATATTGATTAAGATTTTTATAAACGAAATGCTTTTTAATGGATTAATCATTATGAAAATATTCTCGTTGTTTACCTGATCAATTTATGTAAACTTAATATTGTTAATTCTATATCCAAATTAAGATTTTATCAAATCCTCAGGTATATAGTATTGTAAATAAAATCATTAAATAACATAAGTATGGATATTCAAAAGAAAGTGATAAATACAAATAATCAGCATAGCAAAAGTCTAAATATTTCAAATAACGCACTACTTATCAATAAAAATTGTTATTTTAATTTTATAATGTACAATGCATTCTTCGACTCGCAGTTTTTTTTTTACAAAATTTGATTATGGTTTTATTTCAGGTATAAGTTACCACGACGAACATGCTATCGAGTTTATTCATTGGATTAATGGTTATAGGGCACTGATGTGCGATGAGACAGTAGACAAGAAAATTATTATACCTTTGCTTGACCAGCAGGGAGTTTCGAGACTGAGTACGTATTGTTAGCGGTCTTGACTGTATAAAAGACAAAACTTAAAGAGCAAATAACTAGAAATTTTGTGAAACATGGATGTTCTCCTGATAGAACACAATAAGTCATGATACAAAGTCAATACAGTCCATCAAATAGTCATGACCAACCTCCTCACAAAATATAAGGACTGTAGACCTAAGCGTTCTATTGTTGGATTTTACAAGTTCTTTAATGTTACCGATATGGTAACCTTGACTTTTGACCGATTAATTCCAAAATCAATATGATTGGGTTATTTGCCTCCTCAACAAACAGATATGCGTTTTGTGTTCAAGGCAACAATGACCTTGACACATACTAAACTAACTAAAGTCAATAGCGGCCATTTTCATGACCAAACCTCTTGAATAAACTTAAAAGATGTTTTCAGCTGTTTTTTCGTGTTTAAAAGACATGATGTGGACCTTTGGCCTTGACTTACCCCCATAGACACCAAATGACATTGGTTCATCTACTGGAAAAAGAAGCACATCGACGGAGGTGTAGACTCGATAAGCTTCTTATCATCTATGGTCAGAAAAGGCCTTTTTGTTTATCGCAATCAATATCTCGATGGACAGGGACAAACCTTCATGATATCAACCCTTGTGATAAATACCATCTCTGTCTCCCCTTTACCGTTATATGCATAATTGGACATTCAAGAGTAATATATTCTTAGCTTTTTAACGTTTTGATAAGAAACGATGCTCCGTTTTGTATAGCTTGCAATGATCAAGTTATATGCAGAATTGGACATTCAAGAGTAACACATTCTTACCTTTTTAACGTTTTGATACGAGACCACGCTCAATTTTGTATAGCTTGCAATGAATCTTTTTCTGTCAAACATTTCTATACTTGAATACCATGATCTTACACATGTTCTAGGTAGATTAAATTGAGTCAATTCACTTAGAGATTTTTTTACCCTGACCGATAACTTAAAGGACCTAAACCTGTTTTTTTAAGATTAACCTAACTCACTTGTAAAAAACCAGTAATGTGTCAGTGTCGCCGTTAAAGCCAAACAAACAAAAGAAAACGAATAAAAAGAAATTGCCTCAAAATTTAATTGAATATCGGCTTTTGTGAGATGTTAACCATTAACCATTATTTGAGTGAAAAGCGTTGCAACGCTTTCCTTTAAGGGCATTTTGCGCAATAAAAATGATTATTCTGGAGAAAATGGGGTGAAGAAATGTTCTGAAAATATGCACACAAGTTATTGGTCCAGGTTTAGATCGAATGGGGTATAAAATCCGGAAAAATATTTCCAGTCCAGTCCAGTCTTTTAAAAAATTCAGTGGAGTCAAACATTAAATGTTGGGACTGCAGGCCTAGTGCTTTCCCTTCTCTTTGGTCAGGCATACTTTATGTGATGGAGGCAACGTCGACCTTGGCCTTTTAGCGACTGATCACACAACCATCTACTCATGACCATCCTCTTTACCTAATCTTATGTTTGTTGTTCTAAGCTTTAAGCTTGCGAGTATTCTTTTTCAAGTCTTTGATCGGAAAAGGATTTTACTATGTCACTTTTAACCTAGAATTATTCCTCTCAAGAATTTTACATGGACAGACTTGTCTTTGAGCGCATCAAAAATTTAAATTGTTAATATAGCAGTTATTTCAGTATCTGAAAATTTGATCATTGTTTTTCATGTACTAGTATTTAAAATATTTTAGAATCTGGCATCAAAGTTCTCGACTTAGGATGTGGAGCTGGTAACCATGTCACTGCAATGGCGCAAAAATTCCCAAAGTCCACGTTCATTGGTTTAGATTACTCGGAAGCTGGTATAAAGCAGGGTAATAAACACAAACAAGAAAAAGGGTTAACTAATGTAACATTCACTCAAGGTGACGCGCACAAATTACCGGATGAATGGGCAGAAAGTTTCGATTATGTGTTTGTGTATGACGTCCTTCATGATTTACCAAACACCCACAAAGCTCTAGGACAAATCTACAAAGTCTGAAGAAACGAATGGCTTCTTTCACTCTCATAGAGATAGGCGCATCAACAGCAACCCAGGCCGACAATGCAGATGCAATTTCAAGGTGCTGCACTGCATTATGCAAGCTAGCAACTTTATATGTCTTACAATCCAGTATGTCAGAGGAACCCCATATAGGATATGGTGCTTGCTGGGGTAAAGAAAAAATTGAAAAAGCATTGCTCGATGCTAACTTCAAAATCAGTGGGAAATCATCATTGATTGATATTGATCAGGAAGCCTTTTTCTTATGTACGAAGTAGTTAACAGTAAAAAGCCAGCAAATAAATATTTGCTGATACATTGTACAGTTACTTTTCAAACGTGATTTTAAAGTAGATTTTTTATGAACTCATTCTTATACCCAGAATATTTCTTATGTTTGTAAGCATTTACCGTGTACCCGATGTACTCTCTTTCGAATTAAAATTATCAAAACTTTACACAAAGAGCTAGTTGTGTTTTAGGTTATAAGTTCTCGAAAATTACTGTTTTCAAAATGTTGATATCACATGAATGGTCGTTGTCGCCATTACTGGACGGCGCGACATATACGATTAACAAGATTTACCATTCTACCCGTACACTGCCTGTTCTAAGCCAGGAATAGAGAATTGATACCGCATTAAAACAAAATGGACGCAATAGATCGCAAAAAAGGGGCGCCGAAAAGGCACGCGTTTCACCATGTTTTATAGGGCCACCTATATAGATACATATAATTAAAATACTGTGTAGGCTCCTGTGAAGTTAACAATATCCAGAATATTTCTTTTTAAGAACTTTTAATTAGTTCTGTTGCGCAGGAAGAGGTCTATTTTACTAAAGAAATATTTTTGAGTACCTTGTTGAACGGCGATTCATAGAAATTTTGGAAATCTTAATACTTGATTGTAGGTTTAACTCTTAACCAAATACTGTAACCCAATTTATATTCGCAAATATAAACTTCCGCATTTTGTCGAGGGTCGACCATTGCGAGACTTTCTATATAAGTATACGCTTTCCAAATTTCCGAAGAAAAAGGTTTGGCAGATCCGGAAGTGCGAGGGTTTGTTAAATATATTTTACCGGGCAACCATAATGGTGATTAATTTAGATTTATTCTAACTATCACAGGTGCCTTCCTATAGTTTAGCAATTACTGGTAACAATTCGGCTAATTATTTTCTAACTATTTTCGCTTTGTACACGTACACACAATAATGTTCAATATATATTTCAATTCATATTATGACAATGATCTTGATTTTAAAACAAACATAAAATTGAGTTTTTAGATGTTTTACAACAATTTATTATATTTTTGTTGTGCACTTATAGGTGCCTCAAAAACTCCGAATACTTTCGGTTGTGTAACTTTGTGTCAACAACGTCTGGACGTAAAAAAAACTCTTCTTAAGCAATTTATTTTTCTGTATTTGCCCAAACTCATATTCGAAGTTCAATGCTTTCCCCCGAATAAAGCTAATATAAACTGTTCGCGAATATTCGTTGGGCTATGTAGTATGTTTTTTTTGAAAATTTTTAATTTTTTAAATTTTTCTAATTTTAAATTACAGTCATCAGAGTGTTTTAAAACAAGTCGAATGACGCCATGCCCCCGGGGTCGCCTTCACCCCTTTTAATTAGACATTGTCGTTTAAAGGGTTTTCGGTTAGGTTATTTAATAGGTACAGCACCCTTTTTTACCTTGAATATTGAATGATTTCCGTGTTATGGTTTTTGCCAATAACAATATGCGTTCCTGGTTCCCGCCGTTGAGTGGGAGATGGCCCATGGAAAGACATAATGATGTAGAACAGTGACTCAAAATTTTTCAGATATGAGATCCTATCGTGTGTATGTTTCTGGACATGTTTGGCGAAACCAAAGCACAAAATGTTATATCGTGTCGTTTCTTTTATACCTAAAGACACAAAACGTTTCTTGTGCTGTAATGACCGGCGCAAATAGGCAGAAAATTATTGGAACAATGTTATTTTTGCGAACGTATCTAACAATTTTACAGCATTGATAATCGGACAAACAAATAGCATTTTTTTTTTCCAATCAAGGTAAAATCTAGACAAAATGGATGATTTTTTTGCTAAAATGAATTCAATATTTACTCCGGTCAGCATTACGTATGGCTTTCATAGTTCTCTTATTGTAAATAATGAAATTTTAGCATTGTTGATGTACGAAAAACACGAATAAGCATCATGCACAGGTTAATTTGAGACAACTAAACTACGAATTAAAAATCACGTCAAAATTAACGGAGAAAAAGCCCGTTTTATACTAGTAATTAACTGATGATTAACAATAGATATTATTCAATTCCCTTTCACCGGTGCAAGGATACAGACTGCTAACAGACGGACGGACGAGCAGGTGCATAACATTTTACGGAAGCAAATAAAAAAACAACTTTGATAACAAGGTCCTAGTCAAGATGAGTCAATGTTAAGTTCATGTCTGGTCTACTTGAAGGCTTCATTTTTCCAAAGAGTTGTGTCAAAGTAGAGGGCAATCAAAAACAACCTCTTTGCTTTTTTTAAATTTTTCCAATGAGCTCTGACTCAAAAGTTAGTTTAAAGGGTTTTTTGGAGGGCATTTTTTTCTTTTTAAAAAATTTCATCCATCCCCGATTTTATTTTTTTTCCCCCTTTTTACTTTCTGAAAAATTCTTTTCCCTTTTATTTTGGGGTTTAAAAACTTTTCTTCAAAAAAATTTAAATGCCCCGTAAGAAAATTTATATTTTTTTAAGCGGGGTTTTTATTCTTATTGTTTTCTAGTTTTTATAAAAAAGGGGCTTTTAAGTGAAAAGGCATTAAATTTAATCGTAAACTAGTGGTGAAAACAAGAAAATTAAAAACCCAAAGCTCAAAAAAAGGTTTTTAACTCCGGTACCTACAAACTTATCCAAAAATTACAAAAAACCCTTTTTTGGAAAATTTTGGGGTTAAAGGGAAAAAACATTACCTTGGAGTGTTAACATGGTTTTTTTCCATTTTTTGGGAGGGCGTGCCCTATTTTTTGCCCCAAAAATTTTTCATATTGAACTTGAGTAGAAATTACAAAAAAAGGTTTCTTTTTAAATATTTGGGGTAAAAGGGGCACCTTTAGGGGCAAAAATAGGTTTTTTCCAGGGTATGGTTTGGGTGATTTTTTTTTGGCCCACGGATGCCCCTTTTTTTAAACGTGGAAAAAATTGGGTTTAAAAAATTTTTGGGAAAATCGGGGATATTTGGTTAAAAATTTTTACCTAAAAATTTTTTCCAAATTTTTTAAATTTTTTTAAAGGGATTTAAATATTTAAAATTTGACCCTGGGAATGTTTTTCTAAACAACCTTTCTGGGGAAATTTCCAGAAAATGTGGACTTTAAAACAGTACCCTCAAAGGGGTTAACTTTTTTGATCCCGGGTTACCCATTTTTAATTTAAACTTAGAAATTTTAAAAATTTCTTTTTTAAATTTTTTCCCAGACAGGGGGCCCCTAGGGGGTTTTAAATAGATTTACCTATTTTGACTGTCCCTAGCTTTTACCAAAAAGATGCCCTTTAAATTTCTTTTGCCCCTAGAAAACATCTAAACCCTGTCTGACCTTTGTCAAAAAAATTTTTTAGAAAAAACAGAAAACCATTTTGGGTTGTTAACAATTTTTTTCAATATTTGGGCAAAATCAGCCAACAGCCTTTTTGCCCAAATTTTTCCCCAAGGTTTTTCATAAAACATTTTAGTCCTGGACAAAGTTAAATTTGAAAAAATTGAGAAAAGGAATTTTAAACTCCAAAATAAGGCAAGGCAGTTATGGTTCCTTTGCAATGCACATCTATCCAATGAGATCTATCTACCTATTTAGTGAAACCGCCTCCGTGGTCGAGGGGTTAGAGTCGATGACTTCTAATCCAGTTACCTCTCTGGCGTAGGTTCGATCCCCGGGAGATGCTTTGGTAGTTTAGCGCGGAGGAAGGTAGTCTAGTACTGGTGTAACTCTCAAGGAACGATGGTTAGGAAACTACCCGCCTATATGACTGAAATACTGTTTGGAAAAGGCGTAAAATGAAAACAAGCCTATTTTGTGTCTTGTTCATATCAATTATATTTTTGCATTTAAGTAAATTGTGGATACATCTCATGGTTCGGACGAAGCTCAAAGTGAAAAAAACAAAGGTCATTTACTCTAAAATTAGGCAAGGCAGAGTTATGGTTCCCTAACAATGCACTCTTCAAAAAGAGATATATCTACCTACAAAGATTCATGTTGATATCTCTTATAGTTTCAGATTTATGTCTTGGACAATGTTCAAAGTGTAAAAATGATGGTCAATAACTCTAAAAAAGGCATGGCAGAGTTATGGTTCTTTTGTATTGTACATCTAGACTACCCAATGAAATCTTTCATGTTGATACCTCTAATAGTTTAAGAGTTAAGTTAACAATGTATGAAGGGCAATAACTCCAAAATTAGGCAAGGCAGAGTTACATGATTCCTTTGCACTACACATCTATCCAATGAGATCTCGCGGGCTCAGCGCAAAACGGTTGTAACTCAATTTTAGCAAATTTTACAGGAGCATGAAAAAACTTTTTAAAATTTTTGTTACTGAATAAAAATCTTTTATTTTAGGAAAATATATACATTTTAGTTAAGGAATTAGAAAGAAAAAAATATAAAAGAAGCAAATTATTTTTAAAAAAAGATATTTGAATAAGTTCAAGTTACAACCGTTTTACAAATAAAATTTTGATAATTTGTTACATATTTTTTTGTGCAAAAAGGTAGTATCTCAAGTTACAACTGTTTTCCGCACTTTTGAGCAAATTTAATTATTTTCTTTGTGCAAAATAGAAGTATCTCAAACTCGTATCTTTTTTATAGGATTTAATAATTGGATAAAATAAAACATTACTTTTAAATCACTTAAAATATATGTAGCCATTATAAAATAAGTGCAAGTTATGTTTTGAATGATGAAAGTAATGAAATTTAG